ATTTTGCTATGGTCAATGATAATCATGTGATATACATTAATTATGATGATCCGATCCCACTCAATTTTTGTCACTCATATAAATTTAATTGTTCACATTTCTATTCATTAGTAATAAGTAATTGACTTTTGATCATGTATGATACTTGAAAAAAAAGTCACTTATATACTTCCTCCGTTTTCTTTTACTTGCAACACTTCCCTATAAAGGAAATGTCACAATACTTACAACACACTACAAAAGGAAAGTTACTTTAGGGAAAAACTATACTATTTCCCTTATTTAAAGAACATGGCCCACTAAATTACACTCCTAATAACCACTCATCCCATTTTAAAGTGTATTATATCATGTGAACCCTACATTTCTTTTTTCTTTTTTTTTGAAAGAGTGAACCCCACATTTCTTAAATACCGTGAAAAAGTGTGTGTTGCATCTAAAAGAAAACGGAGTATGTTGTGAAGAAAGAAAGAACTGAAAAAAAATTGAAGGAATAAAACTCTATGGCTTTGTTTGGCAAATGGCTGTTGGTTGTTGGCTGGTTCACTTGGCTTGTTTGACCAGATGGAATGTTTGGCTGTTTATAATGGCTTTTGAAATTGGCTGTTTAAGTTAGCTGTTTACAAAAGTGTTTGGTAAATTAATTGGTGGTTGTTGGCTGTTTATTAGATAATTTGTGGGCCAACAAGCCAAAAGCCAACAAAAAAGCTACTCAAAGCAGCTTTTTCATTTTGGCTTAAAAGCCAGCTTTTTCGCTGACTAGAAAGCCAATTACCAAACAAATTTTTTGGTTGTTTGACCACCTTAAAAAGCCAAAGCCAAAAGCTAACCAAAAATCCATTAAAAAGCCAATTACCAAACATGGCCTATATATACACAATACTAAGGGTCTGTTCAGTTCAGCTTAATTTCAGCTTTAATCAGTTCAGTTCAGTCAGTTCCTAATTTCCTTATCTCACAAAATATTCAGTTCAGCTCAGTTTAGTTCACTTCAATTTAGCTCCAATTAATTCAATTCAGCTCAGTTTAGTAAATTTGAAAAGACCCTAAGTACTAAATTAACAACATTAGCATATACACTATTTTTAATAGCTTTAGGGCCTGTTCTCTTACGTTGAAATTCAGTTCAGTTTCAACTCCTAATTTCCTTCTCTTATAAAATATTCAGTTCAGTTCAGTTCAGCTCAGTTCAGTTCAGTTCAGTTCAGTCAATGAGAACAGACCCTAAAAGGTGAGAATCGAATCAAACAAGCTAATTAAAAATAAGGGTGTTTTTGTTAGATGAATTTGACTTGCCTAAATCTATCTTAATTCATTGGAAGTTATGTGATGATTAAATGTGATTGACTAGTTGTGAATTTTTAGAATGTAATGGAATATTTCAATATATATACTTCATTTATTATTATTTTTTTTTTTACAAAAAAAAACACCTTTCAATGCACAATATTTTTAATTATCGATATCACTAATAATTTCTTTATTCCTTATCCTCGTATACCCTTAATTATTTATCAAAAATTCTCTCTTTTATTAAGACATATTAAACATGCAAGAACATACCTTTTTAGAAACGAAGGGAATATGACTTATCTAAGCTTATTAAAACTTATTTGTGTTACCTTATCTTGAGCTTTATAATACTTGTTTAAGCTTATCTTGGCTTTAATTATGCAACAAATTTGCACCGAAAAAGAATTTATACGACCAAATTGGGGGAGCTAGCTACCTAACAATTTGTTGGGGGGTAATACATAATTATATAAAGACAACAAGTATGGTATTAAAAATATATGCAAATTGCACAACAAATATTTTTCCTAAAAGAAGTTTATTTTTGAGTTGGGATTTGGGCTTCTTCAACCTTTTGAGCATATAATGATAACCAAGTGCATTGAACATAGCCAAGCGTGTATGTATCATGTGTTAGTAATTTAATTAAATAATCCGTATGTCATGTGTTGTAGTACTTGTGGAGGATCATTAAACTAATTTTGTGTTTTATTCCGATATAAATTGTTAAAAATTATGTGATATGGTATCATTACTTTCATAGTAAATTCCCTGAGATTGAGTTTTATAGTACGGAGTATCTTTTTTTACTCTATATATAGTAACGTTTTTTTCTTTTTTTTTTGAAACCTATTAAAAACGGTTTAATTATAATTTTTTTATAGATGGTACAAAATAACTTGTAAATCTAAATTTTTTGTTTAAATTTTTAGGACCGGTACTTTGTTTTTGTGAATTTTGATGACATTTTTTTTCCTTGGGTATTTGGTATGTGTATATAAGTTCATTATATACATTAATTAAATTAAGCAGAGTTTACCTTTAACTAATAGTTGAAGAATGGTAACAATTTTTAAAAGTTTAATTCATTAAAAATGTTGATACATCTCTAACTTTTCTACTAATCTATATATAATTCCGTATATCTTATTTTAATCGAGTATATATTTTGGTAGAAAAATGAATTGAACATAATACTAGCCCAACATAAGATAATGTTTGACTTGCAAATTGTACTCAATACGAAAAATTAAATAATGATAGAAAATAAATAAATCGTAGTCATACTCTTGTACGGACCAGGTTCTAATAGCATTAGCAATTTAGCACACAAGATGCGAGTCTTTAGCATTTGTCATGTGGGTCGGGTTAATGGAATTCTAGGATTTCTACAACTCTAAAAAAAAGACAATAACTAGTTGCCTAATAGGTTGAATTTAATTTCTTATGTTTTTTTTTTAAATCGTTTTTTTCTTAAGGTAAGGATTTGGATGATATATGAATACTTCATATTTAATGATTTTTCAATAGGTTGAAGTTAATTTAGTTTATGTAAGAGAAAGATTATGTTCAATCACGACACATGAACTTAATAAATTTTCAAGTTAAAATCAATTGATGATGGGATAATGACGACATGATGTAGCCCATCAGACTTATCTGTTGGTTATTCTTTTTTCTCTTTTTTTAAAGTGATAAGGGGGAAATAAAATTCAATTGTACTACGACCACCATCCCTAAGGACACTAATAGTAGCCACCACAACTACATGCCCCTCTGCCTACGAAATCAATATGACTTTCTTATATCCCACCATCATATGCCACCCTCACTATCGAGATTGAATTGGAATCATGTATGGGTTATATGAGTTTGATGCAAAACCCTCCAGCAACCCATACCTTAAAAGTATCGGTAATTGAACAAAATGTATTGTTAATTCCAAACCTATTAGTTTATTGAGATATGGCTCTAAAAATTAATTGTTGTGTATATACTCTAGATTATCTAAAATTTTGTTAAAGGGGATTAGTTATTTACTCTAGGCATGTTCTCTTCAGCTTAGCTCCAATCGTTTAGTTTAGCTCAGCTCTAATCAGTTTAGTTCATTAAATGAGAATAAGCCCTAATTCATATATACATATCCATGTGAAAATTCAAACTAAACCAATTATCAATAGGTGAATTATTAATACTTACATGTTTCTTGGCTGGTGAATAATTTGCAATTAATCTAATTTTTTTTTAATTTTTTTTTTTTTGCAATCAAACTATTATTACGAGGCACTTTCTTTGTTTCTTTAGTTGTTCCATTTTAATTTGACATATTTGTCGGTGTACAATTTAAATCATTAATATCTTTGATTAATACGGAGTAAAGATGTGATGATCATGCAGAAATTAAAAGACATGAATGGTAATATTATGTATTATGTATGCAAATTATATATGCATGAAATGAGTGGTATAGTGACCTATGGAGATGGGCATGGGAAACAAATCTTAAAAAAGAATCAAAAGAAAATGGCCTCTCTATGTTTGCACCTGCTCAAGATATGGTAAAGCAGCCCTTCAATTTCCCATTATTTCACACCTTAGCTAAAAGGCACCATTGCTTACATCACCTGTATCCTTTTCAGGATTTTCGTGGACCCCTTCTTCCACCATTCTTTTCTCACTCCATCAATTTTTCTGTTTTTTTTTCCCTTTTATTTCTTCCTTTGTTTCACTTCTCTTTGCCTTTTTTTTTTTTAAACTAATTTTTTTTGTTTATTATATGTGGTCAATTAAATAAGGAAATGTTCCATTCATGCATTTGATCTGATTTTCTAAATTGCCTGAATTATACATACTGTTTTATAATCAATTTATTGTAGATTTTAAGAAATTTAGTGATGATCAAATTCGTTTTAAAAAAATAGGGTCAATTAACTCCAATTAAATATAGTTATTTTGTCTTATCATTTCTGATATAGGTTTGGTTTTTCACCTCGATTATTATTACTTATTCTTGTTAATATTGGACTAGACTAGACTAGAAAATTTCAGATGAAATTAGATTAAATCTTAATTTTGCTTGTTTATTGCCATATATTATTGATTTCATATTTGTAAATTTATGAAAAATTAGATGTTTGACAAACACATATGAATCTAGCAAGATTACATTTGAATATGTATTTTCTTACATTGATGTATAATTAAGGTTAAGTTCAATCAAATCAGATCAAACTAGACTATACCAAATTTTAGAAAATTCAGACCAGTTATTAGATTACTTATTTCAGACGAAAAGAACAAAACCTTAGAAAACTATTTGTTTGAATAAACTAAAGGAAAATGCTATACATAGCCCTAAGGGCTACATATAAGCATTTAATTTACTCTTGAAAATTGTTTAAATTTAGAAAATCATGACAAAAACACACTAATTACACCGATTTGCGCGTGTTTTGTCATGAATTTCTAACTTTATATATTTTCCAAGAGTAAATTCAATGCTTATATATAGCCCTAAGAGCTATGTATAACATTACCCTAAACTAAATTGAACACACCTAAATAAATTCCCTCATTACAATTATTATTTACACACAAATACTTTTGCCACAATTATCTACGCTCTACAGTAATTAATTAAGTTCAATAAATATCAGGTGAAGAGAACACGACTTTAAAACCAGCAATTATCCAGAGGTTTTATTTAATAGCATTGAATTGCTTAGCCTGTAATTCAAAAAACCCACTTGGAAAATCCTGTTACCCAAATCTGGTCAGATCTTACTTTGTGGGATTTTGGTGTTTATTTTTATTTTCTTTGGTTTTGTGGGTGGGTCTTATATGAACAGAAAACCCAATATCCCTCTTTCTTCTATTCCCCCCACTCTTTTCTCCCCCTTTCTTTGTATACCCAAATCCCACCACCATTCTCAGTTTCCCACCAACAAAAACATCAACAATTTTACAAACTTTTTTGTGTTTCTTTCAACTAAACTTTAAAACTAGATAAAATTTTTTCAATAGGTTGGTCCAAAAATGGGAATGGCAGCTGAACCTCAGTTTCATGTATTGGCTGTTGATGACAGCTTAATTGATAGAAAGCTCATTGAGCGTCTCTTAAAAACCTCGTCTTATCAAGGTACTAGTTTTATATGCACGCGATGTGTTAGTCTATATATATATATATTTTTTTTTTTTATGTTGGTCTATTTTTTGTTACATGTCAAAAGTAACAAAGGGGTAATAGATTTTGTAACATTTTTATTGGTTATTTTATTTTTGGAACAGTTACAACAGTGGATTCTGGCAGTAAAGCTTTAGAATTTCTGGGTTGGCAAGAGCAACAACAAGAACTACCTTCAATTTCACCTGATGATCAGCAGGTTTAGTTTCTTATTTATTTTGTAAAAAAGGGTTAATTTTGCATATTATTTTCTTGACATTTTCATCTGATTAATTTCTATGATTTCAATTTTCTTTTTTCAGGAAGTAGTAGAAGTGAATCTAATTATTACAGATTATTGTATGCCTGGAATGACTGGCTATGATTTGTTAAAAAAAGTCAAGGTATTCTTTTCTCTTTTTCAACTTTTTTTTCTTCTTCTTTTTATTAGGACTTAATTTGTTGTTATCTTTTATTTAGTGCCTTTTTGACTGTCTTTTTACTGCCATAATCTAAAATAAGTCTCTGAAAAATTCCTTTTAGATGGGGTTTTCTGTGTTTTTTTAAGGATAAATTTATTAATTGTATTTGTGTTCTGTTTCTTCTAGAATCAACGAGAGGAAAATTTCATTTTGGGAAATAAAATTTTTATTTTATTTTTGGGTTAGATTTGAGATAAATCTTCTTATATTTGCATCCACACAAAATTTGATTTTGGATATTTTAAAATTTTTTTTTTTTTTTTTTTTGGGTTAGAATTATTCAGTCCACTTCTCTAACGTTGTCCTGCTGTTTTTGAATTGGTGGTGCTGCTAATAATGAATTTCCTTGGATTTTGTAATTCCAAAAAAAAAAAATTGATCAAGAAAAAATAAAAAAGAAAGAAAATTTTGGGGGGTAGAATTGAAGGGTTGAATTTTGGAAATTATAAAATCAACTAAATAAGGTACAGTAAATTAGTACTCTATGATGGATTTCTTTTGTTCTTGTGGGTGAAAATTTATGCAGCTGATTTGCTAATTACAGTAGCTTTTTTAACTTTTGAAGAAAATGAGGTAATATGGATGTACTCACATTACTATGACTAATAACATAATGAAGATTTTTATGACCAATTTACACTCATTCATTTTTATATGTGTTTTTTATGACCACTTACCAAATGGACTGTAAAGGTGTAAGTAAAAGGAATTGGCTGAACTGTTGGTTTAATGTTTTTTGTATGAATTATTAATGACATAACGAATCATAGCTAAGTGATAACTCTAATGAGCGCGTATTGCAAAATGCCGCGTTGGTGAATTGTGTAGTACATTATGGTTTAAATGAAATTTTCAAATGAGCTCGGGTGTATGGTCCAGAAATCTGACATTCAGTGTTCATTTCTGCAGGAATCCTCTTCACTGAGAAACATACCTGTAGTTATAATGTCATCTGAGAATGTTCCTTCTAGAATTACCAGGTAAAAACCAACAAATGACATAAAGTTGTAAGAACATTGCCTAGTTTTGACATTCCATTAAAGGAAATTGTGCTGTTACTCTTTGTTTGGAAATTGTTGCGACAATGTCACTATATTTACTCTGTTGGAAATAGAAATATTGACCAAATAGGAATTATATCTAATGTATCAGATGTTTAGAGGAAGGAGCGGAAGAATTTTTCCTTAAACCAGTGCGATTGTCGGATGTAAATAGGCTTAAACCCCATATGTTAAGAGCCAAATATGGGCAACAACAGCAAGACATGCTTGAAGTTGAAGCCTGTCAAATACCCGAGATAAAATCTATTCATCAACCACACCACGAACAACGAACACAAGATCCGCAACCACAGCCACAATCACAACTGCAACAAGGGCAAGAAACAGAACAAAAAACTGAAGAACAACAACAACAACAATCACAGCAACAAGTACATCAACAACAGAACAATAATAGCAAGAGAAGGTCCATTGAACTGATGGAAGATGGACTTTCACAAGATAGAACAAGACCTAGATTCAGTGGTCTGACTACTGTGATCTGATTAGTAAAACTTTCCCTTTATTTTTTTCTTGGGTAGTTTAATCAAATTAGATCTTGGTTAATTTTTTTACATTTACCCCGTATTTTTTTTTTTTTTATAATCGCCTTTTCGTTTCTTTTTCCTTATATACCCTTAGAGGGTTTGTAGAGATGATAAGGAAGATGTATATTATGAAGGGTTGGGGGGACAGAAAGAGAGTTTTAATTAATTAATCTCATGGTTAAACCTGTATACATCATCTTACACTGAACATAAATGTAATTTTCCAATTTTGTTTTACATATTAATAGAAGAATTATTGACAGGATTAACAGGGTTATAACAGTTAATTCACACTTAATCCAAGAATTTGTTGTTATCTATAGAGACAATTAGCATAAACCCACCTGGATTAATGTTATTATATAGTGCTAATATGAATACTTATTTTATAATTTAGAGTGCAGATTTCTGACACTTTTTATGAGTTGGATAGAAGTCATGTTTTAGGTTGTCAAAAACTATGTTAAACAAAATCAAATCTTCTAATATTTTCACAACCTGGAAATTGCAAACTTTGCTCCTAAAGTTATGGTTATATGAAAATCATGCCATGTTTGTGGCAAAGCACAATTTTAACATCTGAAAATCACATAAATTAATTTTTTTATAAGAATATTCTCATGTTACTGGCTGATGCCCTTGTCCTTTTTCCACCTAATTGAGATTTTGCTATGATCTACAACTAATGAACTTCTGTATTTAGTCAATGTTGCAATTTTGAACTTTTCATACTTCCAGAGGGCATATTTAGAGTTATAGACACCCTAATTATACAGTGTAGACGGTTGGATATACTCGTAATAGTTTACGTGGTGTAACCAACCGGATAATATTGACTTCAAAAATATTTTATATTTCAAGGGTTGTGACAAGGTTGCATTGCTGACGTGGTGTCAATTGTTATTTTGAAAATCCCGGAATATGGACTAAGACGTTCAAATAGGTATCTTTGTAGGATTGGTTTGCAGACTTTAGTGGCCAATAACAAAACTAATCAAATCCAATTTGTGAAGTAAATTGGTCATTGGGCTTGAGTGTATAATAATTCAAGAATAATATCAGATTTTGTTATTTCTTTAACCCTCTCATTTTGACCTTGCCACCTTGTTTGAAATATTATTGGCTGTTACAATTATTTATAGAGTAATTACTTTTATGATACAAAACATTAAGATTAGTACAATTTGCAGTTCTTTAACATCTGTTATTTATTGTCAATGAAACAATGAGAGCAACAAGCTATTTTAATTTTCAGCAAATGTAGTATATGTCAAATCTTCATGTTACTCTTTATTTTGAGATCAATTTCTACAAATTTTTAAATAAGACCGCATTAACTGTATATGTTTTGCAAAATAACATTAGCTAGATAATAAGACTTCATAATAACTTAATATAATGCTTTAATTTCATATATAAGAGGAAAATGCTAAAGGATTTGCTTTAAACTTCAATAGTAGTTTAATACTTGTAAATCCAAAAACTATTTTTAAGTAATTTAATCATACTTAACAAATAATATTTGATAAAGAACGTACAACAAGAAAAAGTGTTAAGAAAAATTAAAAGCATTATGCATCCTACACAACACAACTCTGTTTCCTTGGTATGAAATAATTAAGTCCTTGCTTTGGTGATGCCAGGAACAATATTGTGGTTCAATAACCAGTTTGCCATAACACTGTAAGCATGTTGAGTCATATGGATTCCGTCCCAACTTACGCTCTTGTCGGGCTGCTCACACACGGGAACTCCTGTTCCACACATTCGAGTTCCATCGTAGTTGTACACATTATTACCCATCCCACAACAAGCCCTTTGCGTTTCATGCCTATCGAATCCTGTAAAAACATCGACCATAATGATTTATTTAGTAATTAGTACATACTTGGTATATTTCTTGATTGAAATTAAAACATTTAACAACACTACGACGAATAATATACTAACCAAGAGAGACGGCGTTTTGAAGGAGTTCTCTAAGGGCTGTGAAGTAGTCTCCATAGATGATTGTGACCGTCGGGTTTTCCCTTTGAAGTTCTCTAATAGTTTGTTGTAGGAAATTGTTTTGGTACGTGGCAAACTCGTTCATTTCTCTTAGACAATGGAGTTCATCATACTTACTTGCGTTGTTTGTTTGATAAGTTGTAAGATATATTGGCAAGCATCCGATTGGGAAATTTCCAGGAATCACTACTCGTATGGCACCCAAACTAATTAGTTGCTGCATAATTAAACAATACATATTAGTTAACAACTTAACATATATATGTACTTCATAATTTGTAGTAACATATTGTGTATATATGAAAAACAAACGAGTTTATTAACATCATGTAATTAATACAGTAACCCTTAGTTTTAAAAAAAAAAACACGACGACTCACCTCCACGGCTCTTCTAATAGTCCGAATAACATCGGGCACCATCCCTTGTACTTCTTTCATACTTTTCCCTCCAAAGAAAGCATAATTGAAGTCATTGCCACCAGATTCGACAATAAAGAGTGCATTGGCAAATTTACGCTTGCAATCTACAAACATAAATTACACAAATTAGTGTACAAGTTAAATCAATAACATTTAACGAGAAATGTTTGGTATTAAATAGGTAGAAGTTATGTTTTAGATAATTTACCTGATGGATTGTGACATATAGAACGAATATGAGACCTAAACCATGATAGTTGCATGGGTGATAAAGAACTACGGGTGGTCCGTGACTCGATTCTTCTTGCAGCTAATTCGTATGTGCTAAGCGCTGTTGAGCCAACAACCGCGAAGTTCACTCCATGATTGAAATTTCCATTCCGGTTAAGGTATGCGTCAAGGTATGGCAAATTGAAGTGTTCAGCTGAAATTTAATAAGAAAACGTACATGAAGAACAGGTTAGTGTATACGTTATTTTTTCAATGGATCGATAAAATTAATTCTATTGAAACATTTTAGATACTCCTAATTTCCTTCTCTCATAAAATATTCATTTCAGCTCGATCTATTCAGTCTAGTTCAAGTAAATGTTAATTTATAGTCTTATATATAGTAGTCCGTATATAGATATAACAAAATAATGTTATACACCATTATTTTGATAATTAAACTTTTAGGTTATAGAAAGATTTTTTTTGTAAAATTATTAAACTCAAGAGTCAAGATGAACATAAAAATAAGAAAAAAAAAATATAAACCCTAAATAATACTTTCGCCCTTAAGAAAAACTTCAAATAACAACTTTTTTTCTTTACTTTTAGATTTAGCACGTTAATGTTTGTATTATTGCTCTACATATACTTTACGACCTCTATATTTCCATATAGTCAAATCTTGTTAAAATTTCTTAACGATTATTTTTTGAAAATATCAATTTTTAAGTGTAAAAAGTACTCCGTATATTTATAAGTGAGATGTAATATGAGATATTCGTACTAGTAATATTAGAATTCTAACAATTAATAACCTCAAAATAACAAATAAAAGAATTATTAGACGAAGTGCATACCAAAAAAATCGACCATAAGACGTCCATTAGAGCAACGTCCAGTAGGACGTCCAAGGAAGAAGTTTTGTCCATAAGGAAATCTACCGCAGCCTAAACTTGCTCCAATTGGATTTTCGCGTATTAGATTACCAGTATCAGAGATCGAGTCTCCAAATTGATAGATAGCATCAACTCGGGGACGAATTTGATCATGGCGTGCATGGATTATTGGTAAGGCAATAGTAAAGAGAAAGGCAAGAACTAAGAAAACAGGTTTTGTATTGTAAGCCATTGCGATGATGGATGAAACTAACAACTTTAATTGATTTATTTTGTCATGAATTACCAATATTTATAGCAATGCAAGTATCCTTAATCATGTATGTACGTGTACTAATTGGATTAGGATATTTAGAGTTATGGAATTATTACTGTTACGTATGCAACAAGAAGTAGTATTTTAGGAAACTCCTTAAATTTTGGAGACTCAAGTTATTAATCTAATTTAATTTGAGGCAAGTTATTAGTATAAAGATTGTAATATAATTATCGTTTTGTTAGATATAGTACAATAGATTTTTTTTTTAAAAAAAATATTTGTTTAACTATTTAAGTGAATAAAAGTATTGGATAACTAAATTACTCTTAACTTGTGTGTCACTCTTGGACTCATTGTTACAATATTTGAATTTTCTTTTCCTCTGTATATTGTTGTAGATAATCAATAATTAAATTTTATTTTCTTTCAAAAAAATAATTAAATTTTATTTATTTTTTTAATTTCATATTTTTGCTAATTTTTTTTAAGGATTCCCCTTGCCCTTTTCAACCTGTATGATGTTAAACACTAAACAATCATGATTTATTGTTCTATCAACTCATTGGGTTTGGACTTTAGAGTTATGTAGTCAAAATAATGAGCTTTTCTTTTCCATGGGCTTGACTTACTTTGTATTTTGGGCCGTGTAATACCACCACTGGTGTTGCTTTGTTATTTGCCTATTATATTACTGAGAGCTATTTGGTGGGCACTACTGAGAGCTATTAGTTGGGCCACAATGCTAAAGAAGACTTTTTACCTAGACATGAGTCAAATGGCTAAAGAATGCTTCTTATAGAGACATGGGTCACATGGCAAAATATAACCCAAATTAATGACCTAATTTAGAGTCTGTTTTGATTTTATAAACGGAGCTATACTGAACTGAACTGATTAGAGGTAAATTGAACTGAACTAAGATTAAGCTGAAGAGGACATGTTCTTATGCCAAACTATAGTTGAAATTGTGAAGTTGTAGGACACACCCCTAAGGCCCTCACACTCAAAATGATCCTGCCTAAACATTAATATTTTTGTTGTAGAAAGTAGGGGTGATGGGATTTCCAACTATCCACTATAAAGTTGCCGCCTAAGAAAAAAAAAATGGGATTGAAGAAAGAAAACAACCCCAAAGATTAGATTACTCCAAAAAAAATCCAAAGTTGGGATTATTAAAAAAAATCCGGGCAAAGTTGAGATTATTAAAACCAATTTTTCCATTATACTTGTATTATTAGTCACATTGATAACCAATTTATTATTATTATTATATTCCTATCCATTTTGCTTAACTACATTCATCTATGTCATATCCTAGAAATTAGGCACGTAGATTATGAAGTTATCCATGAATAACTGTGCATCAAATTTTGTATGTTGTTCTACACTTCTACATATTATCATCACATGCAAGCATATTATAGTTGATACGGTATCGCCTATATTCTTGATTCATTGCATTATTAAACTTTATAAGTGAAACTATTTGAGAGAATGAAATTATTTTTTATAATAACTTCATAACCGTAATCCAAGCAAGCAATCAACTAAAGTGTTAAAAACTTTCACAAAAAGAGAACAAACCCAGCAACACATGGATGGGAGAAAACATCTCATAAAAAAGGAGAAAAACAGGTTTTTTTTTAAAGTAAAAAAGTAATAGAAATTGAGGCTCACCATCCTGATAATGCTGGATGGTAGCTCTTGAAGGAATCCAACTATAGAGTTTTATTGAGAGTCGGGTTGGAATATTCTTTATGTTAATCACTAATATTTGATTCATGAGCACCCTGATTGATATGTATTTTTTTTTTTTTTGAATTAGTATATTATAAATGAATTAATCAATTATCTAAATTTGATCCAAACATGCATGCATCCTAGGGTTTTTGCCAAAGCTAAGGCGTCGTAATGGATATTAATAGTCGCCTGGGTTTGTTTGGCATTACTGTGGTATTCTGTTTTTTTTGTTTTTTAAAATCATATGATATATGTCATATAATGAATTAAAAATTAATCAAACTTATTAAAATCATGATAATTTTGAAAACTGACAAAAAAAAAGTGGAAACACCTTTTTCTTGTTTCATGTTTTTGGTTTAAAAAAAAACGGAAAAATAAAAACAAAAAACGATGCCAAACACTCCTTCAATTAATGATATTGATATCCGTATCTGTATCATGTAACATTCAACTATGCCATATCCTACAAATGATACACATTAATTATGAAATTATCCATGGATATCTAAGCATCAAAATCCTTATATTGCTCCGATCCATTATCATCACAAGCAAGAAATCTTCTTCATCATATGTCGAATCTCAAGATATTAACAGTTGATATAATGTCGTCTATATTCAATTTAGAATATAATAGTCAATATCCATTTCCTTTATGAAACGTCACATAAATCTTCAAATCAAATCCAATTTAGTTCAATGTATTTGCTTTCTTAATTATAGACCCGAATATCTATTAAAACCAAGTAATTCATACCACTATACGTAAAACAAGCTAGAGACAAAATATTTCAAGTAACTTTGAATTCAAATCATACCAAGTCAAACCCACGACATTTCAATTACCTTCAACAATTACCACAACGTAAGTTTACACGAAAACACCAATAATTCAAGATCGAGACGGATAGAATCCGACAAAGGTGAATACAAGCCACAAAAAACCTAGCCACAAAACTTGAATGCAACTCATTGAAGATCCCAAGAAAAAAACCCAAAACCAACCAACCAAAAAAAATCCCCTTTCACATCATCATAATTCATTCATTCATTGATTCATTCTATTGAATTTGACTCTCTTCTACCCCCAACTCCAACTCCAAGCAAAAACAAAGCAAAGACTTGACTCCCAAGTGTTATGCCCTCTTACCCCAACCCCAAAAATTAAGGGGTTGGGTCCCACACCACAGACATTTGTGGGCCCCACCAAACCACGCACAATAAAATAAGGCCTTCCACACGTTAGCGCAGCCAAAACCATCAACAACAAAAAGGCAAACACATTCTCTCTCTCTCTCTCTTCTTTCTCTCTCTTCGCCCATCATCATCCATCATCTTAGCATAATCAGCAGAATCTCTACTTTCTCTCTCCTCAAGTTCCTATCATCTTCGTCTCTTTCCTCGCCACTCAACGCTACCTTCTCTCAGGTTTTCCCTCTTTCTCTCTCCTCTTTTTTTTTTTGGATTTTTGTTGAATTCTTCCTTCTTTAAATTTCGCCGTTTTTTTTCATGATTTTATTGATTTTTTTTTGCATTTGTGTAATTGATCTGGAATTTGTGCGTAGTTTCTGAAATTTATACAAATTTATGTTAATTTTGTGTTTTTATTGATGATATGATGATGATGATGATGGATTTTTGATGATTTGGATATGAAACCCTAGAGTAGAGTCTAATTTGTGAATTTGTGTGATTTTTGAGGTTTAAGAGTGATAATTGAAGGGTGATCATGTTGTTTTTGTGTCAGTACAATTGCCACGGGTTGTCGTTTTCGAGTTCTGATTATGATTTGGACAATTTTGTTTGTTATACGAGAAAGAAATTAATTAATGAAGTTGTACGGATTTGTAATTATTAACTTTTTTTACGCGAAAAATTTGACTATGCATTTAATCACCAAGATTTAGAAATTTTCCGTATTATTTCTTCAATCCACACTCGAGCGTATTTGAAACTAAATTTTAGTTTGTAATTGAAATATATATGAAGAATTTAAGGTAAATTTTTGAATGAAAGCTGAAGATTCAATTGAATTGAATTAGGGAAAGTTTTGTGCTAGATTATGCTGAAATTCAGTTTTCTGAGCAAAAGATCCCTAATGAATGTTTGCTGTCTGATGTGATTTACGCTCTTACGACTAATGATCGTTTTAAGCTGGTTCCATTGATTTGTGTCTCAAGCATGCCGGTGCTTTCTTTTGTGAAGAGCTCCTATGGTGTGTGAAGCTATTTTGCATAAGCTTATTGGCACAAGTCTAGAAAATTTACTGTCGATTTCCTCAGATGAAATTGTTGCTTGAGATAAAGTTTTTCTCTTCTGTAATGTCTGATTCCTTTCTGCACTGCATTTTGTTTTTCTTTTGTAATGATATTCAGGGAGCTACAACTGTTATACAAGCTATTTTGTAATGTTTTTCTTTCTGCTTGTTGACAGGAGCTACAACTGTTATGCGAGTGTCTTCTGTCTGGATTTCTTAAAGTCCTCTAATCATGTCAGGTGGGGACGTCAGAGGCCCCTCTGGTGAAGAATTACAATGGGTATGAACGGATGCATTATATTAAGGTTTTTGCTTCATGATCTTGTTTGTTATAATGTTGGACTTTGAGGGATATTGTTTTCAAATATAGGCAAGATCTTTGACTAGATGTCTTTAAGAGTCATTAGAATTTTCTTTTTTCTATTGCTATATCATCTAATAGTTTTGAATTAACCTGTTTTAGGAAACATATCTGTTTGTGCTTTGTTTACCATTCATCTCGAATTCTTCATAATTATTACTTTTTTTTTTGGAGAGGGTTTTAAACTTCCTGGCTGGAGTAGCTCTGAAATTAATCATTGAGTTTCTCTTTTTCACTCTCCAACACCCCCAGGATGTTATGTTGATTACGATCTCCTTATTGAATACTATAGTTATTGAATATCTAGGGTTGACCCATTTTCACAATGGCAGGTAAAAAATCTTATAGAGCGATGCATTCTACTGTACATGAGTAAGAAAGAAGCTGTGGCCACGATCACGCGTGAAGCAAATGTGATGCCTACTGTTATCGAAATTTGTAAGTTTATGTAATTATAATACATACCCTTTCAGCCCTTTTCTGTTATATGGTACAAGTAACATGTATGCATGAGAAAGGAGGATCAACATTGCAGGAAGATATAAGCGTGTTTAATAATAGTAGCTATACTTTTTTAGAGGAGAAAGTTGGAATTATATGTTGTAAGTATGAAACACTACTTAATATGAGCCCCCATAAATCTGAATACTACTTCAAAGGGGATGCATAGAGTATATAAATATGCTTTATTTAGCAAAGTTTTAATAATGTTGGTGAAACTCTCATTAACTTGCCATCCAATTACATACGATGCTTCTCTCTCTCTCGTATTCTAGAGATGTAATGAGTACACCTTGCAATTTGCTATTTCCGGAAGGTAACACTTCAGAAAATGGGAGAAATAGGCTCTTTTCTACCCCTATTTTTCACCTGTTGCTGGGTGCTGTACGCTCAAATGTAAACTATAAACATCACTAGTGAACAGTAGTTGTGTGATCTTTTGTCATTTTAGAGCCAATACTCAAGAGCCTTTTCAATTCATTTGAATTACATCAATTTTGTGGAAGTGTCTTGTCCCTTTTTCTGCAGAAATAATTTGTGCATAGGAATCTTTGGCCTTTACTAAGGATTAAAGTCGGTTAAAGGAAAAGAAAAGCTTGGAATTTGTTGGAGCATTCGATAATAGGTTGTTGTTACAGCTATATAGGTGTTTTAAGGGGTGGGGATCCTGCTTTGATGTTGCTTCCTTTTTCACATTTTCTTTCATGTAGGACTTAAAGTTTGGAACCAGGGCTCTTTTTGCTTTGCAAATGTAAATTTTGAGGTGTATCAATTATTATTTCTTATCCTAGGTCAAGATAGTGTCTCTTAGTTCTATCTTTAAGCTGCTTGAAGCAAACTTGTTAAGGGTAGGTAAGTACTGGCAGCGTAGTTTTTTGTCAGTGACTTAAAAAGTGGGTATAAAATTGTGGACGTTGGGGAGTAGAACTTAGAAATTGGGAATACATTTAATAGTTTGCACTCCCTTGTTTGGTGTGTGGTAAGGAAGTGAGAATAACTTGAGAATTGTTATCTCATTTGTTTTGGTTCAAGTATCCTTTATTACACTTGTGATGTTTCTAGCTATATGTGATAATCAAACCGGAACTAGGGGAACACAAACAAGGTTGTGCACTTAAAGAAATTTTTGTAAAAAATTATACCAAAAATAAAAATAGAAGATGAATAAAAAATCCGAAATAATGAAATCTACCTCCCTCATTTATTCATTCACTAGGTGAGCTCCTATACGGTGCAACTGCTAACAAAATTAAGTATAACAATATTCTTAGTTTTATTGCTAGCCTACTTACGGAGAAGTATGGTTCTTTGACATAAACATGATTAATTATTACAATAATTTATGCAAACCTTACATAAAGGAAGCCCCAAAAAACTAATACAAGTTTTCAATTACATGAAATTAATTAAAGCTGCCAGGCATAACACTCTTTTTGTAGAGTATCATTACTTTGCACCCAAGCCACCGGTCCACACCATTGACAGCATTTTGCTTTACACCTAATGTACTCATGCACAATTAAGATCGTTAAAACACCCACTTATTAGAGTAGCAAAACTTAGAAAGTTACTCTGGTAATTTAATAATACCATCACAGAGCTACATTAATTGAATAAAGGAATCAGACACTTCATTAACTCAAAACGGAATAAATTAAATTGAAGAATAAAAGGAATAATTGAATAATACCTTACATGTCTCTCTCTCTCTTTTTTATTTTTTCATATTACCACAACCAAATATTAGGTCTCAATAGCCAGAAACAATCCACATTATTTCACAGTTTGTGACTGTACCCAATGTTTAAAACCATGGGTGGCATGGTCTTTTTTTTTTTTTTTTTTTTTTTTCCTGATTTTCTAAGCTCTGGCACTTTTACCTGGCCACCTGGGTAACGTAATAATTGAATTGAGGCCCATTTATTTTATTTAATTATTTTAATTGTTAATGTTGTGAAATCATAAACGAACACCAACTTTTTGTCATAATAATAGAGATTCCAAATTGCAATCTGGATTCCCTATTCCCACTAAAGATCAGCTGTTTTGTTTTTATGTTTGTTAACTTTACTAGTTATTATATTTTTTTTGTAGTATGGAATCGACTTGAAGCAGAGAATCAAGAATTTTTTGAGGCTTATCATATACGATTGGCATTGAAGGATCAAATACATCGGTTTAATGAACTGTTGAAGCGGCAGGGGGAGCTGATGGGAAAGATCAAATCTTCTGGAGTTGCTCCTATGCCAGCTACAAATGGAGCGCACATGGCACAATGTAAGACTGAAACTAGGGACATTTTTTTATCAGGGAAAAAAATATGCCTTGTGTTTTACCAGTTTTACCAGTGTGTGTGTGTGTGTGTGTGTGTGCGCGCGCGCGTGCGTAAATTGATTATACAAAATAAACTGCAGTTTCTGTTATAAGTCTTCTATGATTGCAAAGTTTGAGTTCTATCATTTAAGTTGTCTTAATGTGTGATTACTTGATGTGTTTCTTATGCCTCTTTTATTTGTAGCCCCACTGAGTATTATATTAATATGTTTGTGCATCTCTTAACAGTCCAACAAAATGCTGGCTGCTATGATACTGTTGATCAGACTGGACCATCTTTAACACCAGAGAGCTTACAACCTCATATTGCTCCAAGTTTACCCAATTCCTTCACTAATGGTGTATCATCCTTGCAAATTCCTTCACCTTTTCCGTCCAGAACAATTGATTATCAGCCTAACTCACTTCATATTCAGAACTCTAGTTCCTTGAGATTGATGCAAGGTTTGAATGGAGGGATTGTTAAATCAGAAAGTAGCTATCCTTCCAATTCCTCAATTTTTTATGAAGCTGATCCACATCTTGGTGAAGCGCATGGCTCCATGGAAGATCCATCTATTGCAGCGTTTGGTGGTTTGGAAGCAAGCTCACAACCGTTAAATGAGACACTGTTGAGCATCAATGGCTCTTTTGAGCAGCTGGGACCCAAATACTATGGTCTTCCCAATTTAGTTTATCCTAGTATGTTTTTACTTTGCCCCTCTTATTGATTACTTCAGGACACTTTTGACTTCCTTGAAATTCTGTAATTGGTCATAATATTTGCCAATTGTGCTTCATTTGATCACCGTATTGTCTTTATTGTACAACTAGGATGAAGTTAAAAAGTTATGTTGTCTGAAATGATGATCTAGGATTTCATTGTTCCCGTCTAATGTTTGACTATGTTGTCTTGGACAGATGGATTAGAGAATTACACAAATTCAGCTCTTATGTCTACAGAGACGGAGAACATCCTTGCTGCCCGAGACACGGGTGAATTAGCAGGTGAGATGCTTTAACTAATGTTCATACTTTGTTAGTTTGCAGATACTTCTGTGGGTCTCTAATATATGCTGTGGGCTAACAGAAGGAAACAAGGGGCCATTGACACAGAACTATCATACTTATGAAGATTTTGGAAGTGAGTGATTTAATTATATTGGTAAGATGTTCCTTGATTATTGACTTAAATTGCAGCAGTCATTTTTCTGTTGAACGACATGTTTGCATTTTCATATACTTTACTCAGTTATTGTATATTTGCAAAATGGAAAGTGAGTGTGTATATAAGGCTAAGCACAGGTCAACCTGGCTTCTATGTTGGTTTTTGATGGTTTATGTCGATAGATCAATTGTATGATTATGTGATCAAATAGAGCATACGAAGTATTTTTTTGATAAGGGAGGAATTTTATGAATACATAAATTTAGTACTGATGGAGGACAAGTTTAAACATAGAATTACAAATTTATTTACAAATGAGCCTATTTCCATTGCCTATATGCCCTATAGAATTGTTTTTGAAAACCCAAGCCTTGGCTTTTAAAGATGCAGTCAGCAATATCACTTTATTTCTATAATCTATCACAAGAGGTAGCAATTTTGTAAAACATTTAGTGCTTTGCCCACAATAACTTCTTGTCTACTTTTCCTTTGCCCTACAAAACCCCACGAATTGAATCAATCCATCTTTTATCGAAGGGTGGGTCCTTGATATGGTTGTTAAAAGCAAACTTCATAGATTATTTGCCAACATATTTTGAAAGAAGACATGTGAGCAAAGCCTTTGTTTCCACAACATATCACTATTAAATAAGAAATTAGTGCCTAAATTATACTCCCTCCATTTTCTTATAGTTTACTCACTTTTGACTTCCTTTTTTGGATGTTTCTTTTTAATTTACACACTTGTATCTTTTTATCTTTGAAATTGGGACACACCACTTTTGCTCTCACAAACAATGTTTTTAAGTGTCACATTAACATTTTATTTTTTTCTGCCTCCTAAATTAAATGTAATTCTTGGTTTTCGTGAAAAGAGTTACTCCGTAATTTTTAATAAAATAAACAAAAATAAATAAATAAAGGGAGTATGTATATCAAAATTTCTAAGGGAAATTCTTAATGGTAAATTGGTAATACTTAATTATTACTTCCTCCGTTTCTATTTAGTTGACGCGTTTAATTTAGGCACATATATTAAGGAGAGGAGAGAGAGTGAAAGAGAATGAAAAAACAAGTGGGGTAGCTTGTAAATGCAAGGTAAAAAATTTACCCCAAAAGGAAACGTGTCAACTAAAAAAAACTTCCTAAAAAGGAATACGTGTCAACTGAAAAGAAATGAAGGTAATATTTATGTATTTGGTCAGCTAGAAAAATCTTAAAACATCACAAACAGCCCTTTATTTTCAGTTATAAACTAGGCATTACACTAATGATTTTAATGATAAATATGTAAAATAATTAATCAACCATGGTTAATCTATTTATTTATATTTTTGAAAATCATCCCACCATTGTTGAAAACAACCCCATCCTTTCTATATTTGAACACCATTTTTCTAAAACACCAGCTTAATATAGATAGAAAGCTGTAAGGCATGAGATGGCTATGAGCCTTGGAGTTGCTCTTGGACAAAAAGCAACGATTATGGCGGATTACTCTTGAATTTGCTTAAAATTGGAAATTGTATTGTAATGTAAGTAAAAAATAAAGAAATAAATGCATTTGGTGTTTAAATTTTCTGTGAGTGTTAGGGGGGTGTTAAGGAGTTGAGCCTATACCGATCAAGCTCGACATCTGTGAGCTTAGGCCTAGCTCGAGTTTGATATTTCTAGACGTGAGTTCGACCTGAGTTTTGTTCCTCATATGTTGTTTCTAGTCTCAAATTTTTATTTTAATCAAGTCCTCTCTTTTTCCAACCTGCATAAACTATTAATTGGCCTTTAGAATTGTAAAATATAACTTTTTAGTACACCCACAATCATAACAATTATATCAAATTTGCATGTTAGGTTGCTTGCAGCCTTGCAGACCTTGTATCATATCAATTCATCAATTAATTAACATGAATTGTAATTTAATCTTTCCCAAAAATAAAAACATGAATAAATGCTATTTCTTAGAAGACATTGAGCGGTGGTTAGTTTTAGGAGATACAGGGCCCATCGACCGGTGTTCCTTTCACAGTAGGAGAGTGAAAGTCTCTGAAGGGATATGAAATAGGAAAAAGGCTAGTTTTATGTAGTTGTATTTTGTTTGTTGTAACTTTGTAAATGTTATCGATAACAGAATAACGAATAAGGGCCAATTTGGGAAATGTCTAAATAAAAACAATGATACCCAAAGCTTAATTTTTGATAAAAACTGTATTTTTGGTAACAACTTAGCTTTTAATTAAATTTTAATAAGAGAAATTTTTTTTCGAGCTTGTTACTTATGAGAGGCTAGGCTTATTAACACCTCTTAGTGAGAGACTGAGAGTAGACAATTTTAGTGAATTTTGTTTAAAATTAGGGTGTATATGTTTGAGTGTGAGCGTGTGTTTTCTTTCTCGAAGGGAAGGAACAAAAAACAAGTAGGAGCTTGTTGTTTGATGGATTGAATTCAGATTTAAGATTAGGGGTTATCAATCATTTGTTCTTACATTTTTTCAAAGAGAGAGAGAAGTGGGTTTAATTATCATGAAATATATTGTTAAATAAGTATTAATATAAAGTTTCATAATATCTACTTTTCTATAATTTTCACTTATAGTTAATTCTATATACTTCCTACGTTTTTTTAGTTGCTACACTTTTATTTTCACGGTCTCCTAGACAATTTTTTAAGAGTACAGAGATAGAGAGAAAAAATAAGAGGGACCCATGTGTGTAGGAGAGAGATAGAGAGAAAGATATGTAAAAAATGGAAAGTGTTGCAACTAATTTACAATTTCCAAAATAAGAAAGTGTAGCAACTAAAAAGAAACGGTGGAAGTATTTAAAGTCAAAATAGTACATTGGCATGTGTGTCATGTTCGACTATATCAATTTTTCTAGGACGGAGAGACTATCATTATAGTGGGCAATTCATTTTGCGATTTCTGTAATTTTTCGCCATATTACATACTCTGTCTGCAAATAAAAATCCCATTTTACCTGAAAAACTTTTCCCTAAATAAAAGTCCCATTCACCTTTATTTATTTTTTGCTCATTTATCAACCAAATCCCACCATCTTATTTTTCATATTCACTTTAAACCATTCATACCCTATATTTATTTATTTTATTTTTTTTAAAAAAAATCACCTACCTAAAACTGTCTGTTAAAGGCAATTGAAACTTTATTTGGGGCTGAGGTAGTATTACAAATTTAGATTTAATGGCATACATTAATTACCCTTGTGTATTTTCTAAGGCTTAAGTTCTAGGCTTTGCTATGGTCGTATGACTTCTCTTCTCTCAATGGTTGGGATTGCTCCATGAAATTGATATGCCTGAGAAAGAGTGGGACATGGTGTGAGGGGAAAGCTAGAACGATGAAGTTGGTAGGGATTGAATTAATGAAGTTGTAAAAGAGGAGAAAATGGAGGAATTCAGTGAAGAGGAAATTGAGTTAAGAGGTAAAATGATGAAAAATGAGCAATAAAGTTGAGTGAAGAAGTAAATGATATCAGTTAAAGAGGAAGTAAGACAGAATTTAGTGGAATGGAAAGTGTAAGTAATGTCGTGTCAGTCTTGAGATGGATTAGGTAGGGTATTTCAGGTTATGTGACCAAATCCAGGTAGCAACATATGTGGTTTAGTGACCAAAACCAGGTAGCAACTTATGCTTAAAAGTTATCAGGTAGTCTTAAACACTTTTTTTTTATAAGGTATCTAATTGGAAATAAGTGTTAATTAAATTGGTTTTTACGTTCTTAAGCACATGTAAGTTGGCGTCTAGATATCTACTTAATGGAAGATATCATTGTCCAGAACTTACTTTGGCTGTATATACTGTCAGCCAGGTTTGATTAACTGTAATTCAATGGTTATGAACCTTAATGTTGTTGCTGCTGCATGTCATATGTAATATGTCGTGTTCTTACACCAATATCCTGATTGTGCATTGTTCCTGGGATTTATTGTTTGGATGTGAGAAGTGTGAGAAGACTTAGAAATTTGTGCACTTTATGGATATTTTAGATCTATGATATCATATGTTTGGATGATGAGTGTAGCCCGTTAGGCTGTTATTTAGTAATTTTTTTATCTACTACCATGGCAGGGAATTCCCACCAGACACTTATCGCACTATTTTTTTTGGTTGAACTTTTTTAGGCTTGAAGTTTGCTTATTTTGAACGCTAGTTAAAACTGAGAAGGCATTTCCTGGTCTTAAACTTATCTAAACTTATTAGCCTTGTGCTAACTTATCTAAACTGATATGCACTGAACTTCACCTATCACTTTTTATTGATTTCCCGAAGAACAAAGCCTGAAGATGGTGTTCTGTGAGTATCTCATGAGGGAACCAGCTTTTATGGTTTACTTTGGGGGGGGGGGGGGGGAGTGGGGATGTTGATTTTTTTTTTTTAATGATAGTAATCTTCTTATACATTACTAAGGACGTTTTGGGGCTGTACTTGGACTAACATATAGGGTGATGTCCATGATAGTAATCTTCTTATACATTACTAAGGAGGCACGACCTTTGTGATTAATTGGGGCCCAAAATGGCAGTGAATGGTTGCTTACATTATTATTAAATCATGATGCTGCAACTCAAGTGTAGTGAACCTAAAACCAAGGATTCATGTTGGTAGGCTTGAGAGCCCTATATATTTGCTGGCTGGTCTTTTGTTCCCAGTTTTGATTAAATTCTGGGCACACTTTACTCAGTGGATGAGCGGCTTCCCAACTGAACTTTGCCATTGTGATGCTACTACATTATGTATGATGGAATAAGGTTTGACCTTTTAGAAGTTTTTCGTTTTACTTGAGGTTCACAAAGAAGGCATGAACAAATTAGATAGCCAAAAATGAGTGTTTCGCTTAGTGTCGTCATGAGATTTTCTTTTTATTTTTTAAGGGCTTAGGTGATCAGTGATTATCTGTCATTTGTCTGTTCATAATGTTATATATTTTCAATTTCTGGGAAGAGCTTATCTTTTTGGCTGCTCCTTTTATTCTTCTTGATTTTACAAAAGAAGTGCAAAGTGAAATACAGGTCAAGCAGGGTCAGTTGTATGACAACTTAGTTTCTGTGAAGGGTAGGCTTTGTTTGTTGTGTACTGCTCTTGTGATTCACACTATTGGCAGATGGCATGGGAATGCTGCAACCTTAATGGATTAAGCTGATCTTATATGATAAAAGACTGCCAACAATCTCAACATTACTATTTTGTTAATCTTTATAGGATTTGCTTATCTTTGTTTTCAGTACATTTCTCTCTTTTTTTTTTTTTTTTTTTTGGGTGGGGTGGGGGTGTGCTTACAATTGGCACTGTAAAATTTTCTGTTGGGGAGAGTGCTGAGAAATCACTCAAGTCGATGGCAAGATTTAGAGGATGTGAGAAAGAACAAATTTACGAATGCAAAACAAATAAATAACTCACAGATTTAAGTGGTTTACCGATAGTGTGTTGGCTAAGTCCACGAGCAAGGGAGAGGAGCTTTATTGATCTTGAGGAATACCATATTACATAGTGATATGTCAATTATCACCAGTCTAAGCTATGAATAAACCCTAACTAGATTTATATATAGCTATCCTGAAATTAGGCGAAAAAGAATTAAACACGCTAATTGCCTCAAACCGCGTGCAACTTCCAGGCTTGTCGCGCGTGACCAAGCTCTTGCTTGACCCGGTCACACCCACTGCTCCGTGAGCTATAGCTCCAATCCGTCGCAACTCCAAATGCTTCCTAAACTAGATTCAAGGCATATTTCAACAAGTAGCAATGGGATATGTAAGGACTAGGGAGTCGGGAAGAAACTAATAGTCAGATGATATGCATGAGATGTGAGCTCTTTGAAAGAAGGGGGGGGGGGAATCATCAAACAAGTGCATCAATACTGGGATGCATTAATACTTGGTGTGTATCCTATAAACCTAATGGATAATGGGAGGATTGTGGTAATAGAGATTTATGAGAAGTGAGCAAGGTTGCCTGTTACGAAAGATATTTTGTTGTAATGAAGACATTACATTGGGTGTTGTACAACTAGTTAAGATGCAAAATTTTCCTTGAGTCCTCCCTCTGTTTTGGATTGATCGGTACACTAGGTTTGGCACATAGTTTAAAAAAAAAATATAGAGTGAGGACTGGGGACCAAAGTGAGGATTTTATAATGTAAAGTATAACTGGTTGGAATATAGTTAGTCGGTAGGGAGAGAAATAATATAAAAGTAGTGTTAGTGGGGTTAGAGGGAGAGAGGAATAATAAATAAGTAATACTGAGCTTTTACCAATTAAAGAAGAATTGCAATTTAAAAACTTATGAAAAAGAAAATGTTACTAGTTGAAACAATGTGATAGGTTTTTTTTTTTTTTTTTTTTTTTTGGGTGTGGGGTGGGGAGCTGGGGGGAAAGGATTTAAGCATTCCAAGTAGTTTAGTTGATTTAAGTGTTAAAGATTCTTCTGTGAATAGGATATATACTGCTATGTATTTAACTTCTTTTTTCTTCTGTGGGCAGGTTAGTTTGTCAGTCAAGGCAACATTTATATGTACATATGATTTAGGGACAGACCGAGTCTTTGCAGAGTTAAATACTTTTTTGCAGAGGTACATAAATTGGTGTGCGTACTCCCAACATTTGTTGTTGCTTCCATGATGAGAAGGGTGGCACTTCAAGTCTAGAAGACAAAGTGTTGTGGAGATGTGTAGCAACTTTTGGTTTAGTGTTTGGTTAGTCGTACAAAGTAAAATTTTAGGAAAAGCTTAATGGGCGAGTAATGAACGTCTTATTGTGACTTATAATCTGGATTTTGTAAGATGAAATTGATAACATAGCCTTTTCTTTTTTTTTGTTTGATTGAAAACTGGAACTTTATTCACCATATAGGTTGTGATTTTAGGCTACAGTTCCCTTCATGCTATAATGTTTTATGATTTCAGGGGGAAGAGGAGGCGGTATACAGGATTTGGTTGTTACTGAATTTTTCATTACCCCTTAATTTCTACAGTTCTCAAATCCTAGAATCAGTTTATATTGATGCAAACTCGGATTCTCTGTCTAATTTGTTGTTTGAAGATTCATAAAGCTACAAACAATTTTATTTTATTTATTTATTATTATTTTTTTTCCAAAGGATGCATGAACCATGTCATTTGGATAAAAGGCCTCCTTTATTTGGGAAAAATGTAACTATCACAAAAAGGTTTAGGGAGTACGGAGTAACTTTTTATATCGACCATACAACATTCACCATAGCTTGTAATATTTCTATTCGTTTTTCTAACTAGCAAGGAAGGATATATTATCAGCTCTAAAGTTGATGTCTGTAAACTAAAAAAAAAAAAAAAGAATAGTTTGATGTCTGTAATAATCTTCTTAATCTCTCGTTCTAGTTCACTCGCTCTTATGGAGATGTGGATTAAATTAATTGAATCAGGGAAGATAGCAACATTTTTCCGCTTGAGGTTTTAGCTTTTCAGAGCCAGAAGTCAGCTGTTGCTTCTGCCTGAAGAGGAGATACAGCAAATAGAGGCTTGCTTCCTGCAAGACCTTGCTCCCATGTTCAAAGACCACCCAGCCGGCTCCAGGCTCCTGCATCCCATCTCTGTCCACTTGAGCTAATAGGAGGAAGTCACTGTTTTCCTAGTATAAGCAATAATCTAGGGATGCAGAAATGGCCCAATGGATTTCACTGCCAGGCCAATTTTAAACTCCAACAAACTGGGACTGAAAAATTAAAATCTTACTTCGTATGAACTTCATAATCAATGGAGAAGTTTATAATTAAATTTAAATATTCACAATTAAGATTTTTTTTTTTAACAAAAAAATTTGTTTTGCTAAACAGGTCCTGTTTTAAAGGCATGATCCAGATCAGCAATTAAATCATCCACATCCTCGATGCCCACTGAAATGCGGACAAGATCTTCAGTTAAACCTCTGGCTTCACGAACTGCAGCTGGTATGGAGGCATGTGACATGAAGCATGGCAAACTTATAAGTGATTTCACACTCCCTGAAAACCAGAAAACATTCAAAGTTAAGGAACCAACATAAATTAGCTTAATCATTTCCATCTCCTCAAGCATTATTTATTCTCTACTAGGTACAAACCATGGCATATAACTCTCATTGATAGAAAACATAAATCTTTTTTTACACATGGAATTGGATTTTAAAAAAATACAAATAGAAAGGAAGAAAAAAAAAAGGCTAGTGTAGTGTGGGCAAACAAACAAATGATAGATGAGCTGAAATCTATTGCATATACACAGTCCTCATTTACGAATATCTCAACCCAAAGATGCTTAAATACACAGAGGGATTCAAGAAGGTTAAAGCACTTTTAGAATACTTGGTGATTGTAAGAGTGAGAGTATTTACCAAAACTGACAGTAATGCTGAAATACTTGGTTGTCTCCACAATATATTTTGAGAGAGCAACAGAACCAGTAAGGAAACTAAGCACAGATCCTGCACCTTTGGCCTGCAACAATGCAATCTTTTTATTTGGAGGCAGAAATATAAATTGCCGGCAAGTATTGAGTAGCCAGAAGGAAATATTTAAATGATATGCACATAATATAGTTTAAGGAGTAATAAGTATAAATTACCTGAGAATAATGCAAAGACCGTCCGGGATGATCAGGAAGTCCAGCATAGTTGACCTTCTTAACTCTTGGATGAGAAGAGAGAAATTCAGCAATCCTCTGTGCATTATCCTGTCGCAAGTATGAAGTAGCGCATATGAGTGTCACGAGGAAAATTAATTTCTTCAAACCAACAATTCAACAAATATGCTGATCCACAAGAGCGTGAGTTGAAAGTAAACAGTTTTCATCCAAGAAAAGAGTGTCACAAGTAAACAATTGCATAGGTAGGTTGTCCATCTTTCAGTCCATACACACATACAAGCTGTAAGAGATCCACAAGCAAGCAAAGATATATGCTATTCTCAATGAAAGATGACCATGAGAAGAACATGTTCATAAATCTTCTCCAACTACAAAAATAGGAGATTTAGGTAACAGTGGTTCCACATAAAAGATGATTGGAGAACATAATAAGAAAATGGATCTTATCCAACTACATAATTTCTATTGAGTACCAAGCAATTAGAAGGTAAAGCAATCTTGTGTGCTTAGCAAGTTAGCAGTATTTTTCATTCCATCAAACTGAAATCAAGTGTGGAAGTTTTTCTTATGTTTTCTTCTATCAAACAGCATTGACGTGACCTATTTGTGCAGAGTCTGCAGACTCACCAAGACTCGCCAAAGATTGGGACAGATCACTTTGTGTTAAAATTCAACTGTGACACATTGCCCATATCCAACATAGTTAAAAATTAATGAAAATTACTTTAACAAAATCCATGATGATAGTGAAATAGAACATATACTAATTCATATCAAGCCAATTTCACAGCAAACAAACCAGGATACTATATCTCCATTAATCAGGTAATAGGAAATTAGATATGTAATGGTTCAGCCATCAAGTCCACATCATTTGTGCACATCCACCTCAAATTTCGACCTAGGAGCATCTACCATGATAACAGAATAGCAATGCTCACAAATACACAATGCTGTCAACTGCATATTCATTTTAAAAAAGGATATAGCTTAATTGCACATGTAACTTTTCTGGCGATAATATAAATATATTGAAGCACCTGTTGCTTTTCAACACGGAGAGCCATGGTCTTGATGCCTCGCAAACAAACCCAACAGTCAAATGGAGCCAATCCAGAGCCTTCAGAATTTTGTAGGAAATACACTTCTTTTGCCAGACTGCTCCAGGAAAAAAAATGACATTTAGCTTAAGCATTTTAATACTGATTACTGAATAACTTATTATAGACAGCTAATTATCCATAAATAAATAAGCATAATGTATGTGTCAGAAACCAAGAATTTGAGACATAAAATACATAGGCAGAAGTTCTGCTACAAACTGTAAAAAGGCACCATTACTCAACTTCATTTTTTACTAATAACCCAGAATGTAGCCCCTTGATAAGAGATGCATCAAAAATATGTTAAGGACAAATTTGCTTCTACATGACTACATCCAAGCATCTTCAATAATACTCCCTCGGTTTTTTTATTATTTGCATCATTTTGACTTAAGCACTAATCACATACTCACTTTGACTTAATTTTTTTACTATTTTAAAATGAATAAATGTTACTATTATGTAATAGTACCTCCGTTTTTTTTTTAGTTGACACGTTTTGACTTTAGCACTATTCATTCACTCCCCTTTGACCGCGTTTTGTACTATATACATAATGAAAATTATAATCATGTGGGATCTTGTTAGCTTTGTCACAATTTATATTTTCAAAATATCAAATTTTTATAATTTTTGTTTATTGGTAATCAAAGATAATAATAGTTGAAGTTGTGCATTGGCAAACGTGACTAAAGAAACATGTCAACTAAAAAGAAACGGAGGAAGTATATCATTAGATTAGTAATAATGTCTATTTTCATAATTTTTTATTATTTTTTTTACAATATTTACTAATAGACAATAAAAGATATTAATGGTCAAAATTACGTCTTAGCAAATGTGCTAGTCAAAGTGATGCAAATAATAAAAAATGGAGGAAGTAATAAGATCAAATATGTAAATTGCTCAAATCATTTTTCATCATCTCCCAACTAAAATCTTACAGAACTTTTATAGTGACACTGAGTGGGACACAGGGCACATTAATTGCAAAACCAGAAAGAGAAGCATCTTTAAGGCTTAAACATTGGATTCCGACAAAAGGGGTGGTGTATAGGCTCACAGGTTAAATTACCTTTCCCCTTTCACAGCAAGAACGCCAGCCATAATATCACTGTGCCCAGCTATAAATTTAGTAGCTGAATGCATCACAATATCTGCCATCACCAAGCAAAAGTATATAAAAAAGGTAGAAAAGAAAAGGCTCTAAAAACTCTACCTTATAGACATTATAGGAAAAGTCATCTATCATCACTTAGAGAGTACCTGCACCAAGTTCCAATGGCTGGGATAAAACCGGAGACATGATGCTGTTATCAACCAGTACAAGAGCACCATGTGCATGAGCTAACTCTGAAATTTTCTAAATTGGAGTAAAGAAAAAAAATGTTCAAATGTTTCTCAACAAAATCTGAAATATGTTCATCACAATTCTATTATCACAGTAATATATAAACCCATCTTTAAGACAAGCATATCTCATCCCCAAACATTTCCATGATTTCTTTCAAAAGGAAAGAGACACTTTTAAAGCCATGTAACTTACACGAATATCACATATTTGTTGTCGAGGATTGGTTGGACTCTCAAGCCAGACAAGCTTTGTCCAAGGTCCAATTGCTGATGCTACTTCCTCTAAATCAGATGTGTTCACTCGTCTGCAAATCTTTAGACCATCAGAATGTCACATAACATTAATACACTAAACATGATAAGAACAGGAAGAATCACTAACTTCACCACAATTCCTGTTTTTGGAAGAACTTGTGATAGTAATCGATCAGATCCACCATATATATCATCTCCGGCAACAATTTCCTGGCCTAGATCAGAATAAAAAATAAGAGTGTGGATGCATTAACACAAGTAGAATCAACCAATCACCAGGGGCAGAGTAATGAACAAGCTACCAGCAGCACATGTAATCACAAACAAACATTAATATATTGCACAAATGTAGAAAATTAGAGGTCAATACAGTTTGGCTAGTAAATCCTGAGCACAAATTGTTCATAACAATAATAAGCAACAGTGCATACTGTACCAGGATTTCATTGCTGACAAGAAGAATATGAATCTGAAGAGGCAAAAGATAGCAATACCAGTTCCAATAAGACGAGTGACAGCAGCAAGAGCAGCCATTCCACTAGTAAAGCAAAACGCTCGATCAGCCTTATCCAGCTGTGCCAGGAGTCTGCAACATACAAATAGTAAAAAGTGGGGGAAATGAGTGTATAATTTCACAAAGATTATGGTTTGTACATGAAAACAAAAGATACGAGCCAATGTTAAATGAAATGTTGAAC